ACTTCCCCTCCTCCTTCCTACCTACATAAGATCCAAGTCAGAGTGGGTATTCTTAGCAGTGGGCTGCTTCCTTGCCAGCCTCAAAATCTCACTCTACACTTTCAGTTCCAATCATGTTCACTTACATGGCTATCTAATTAATAACTTCCCAATACAGTTCTGACTGTTGCACTCTCTCACTCAAACACTTCCAAGTGCTCCCTACCCAATAAATTTGAAACTCCTTATCGCATTCAGTGGCACCCACAATATGCTTCAGTCTCTCACAGACTCTACTGCTCATGAGGCCCATTTTCTCTTCTTCAGCTAGGTTTTAAAGTGCTTTCGTACAGCTCATGTTTGGTCCTTACAAAAGTTCCGAGAGAGGTAGAAAATTCAGGCGATAATATGCTCATGTTTCAGTGAGGAAAACAGACTGAAGAAGTAAAGTGGATTGGTCAAGATTCCTTGGCTAGACAATAGCAAAGTGGATCTACAACCCGGTCCAAGAGCCAACTCAAGGACTTGAGCACTCAACCTTCCTCAGAAAGGCAATCTGGCCCAACTGGATTGTCTGCTTCTCTCAGACCCTTGCCTTCCCTCAAGTGTTCACTCATGTAATCCTGGAATACTTTGTTCTGTTCTCCATTTACCTGAATCCTTCCCTGCTGTTCAAGTTCCTCTGCTCCTCCTCTGATGCACAGAGTGATCATGCACCTGTGTTTAATCCCACTCTGCCTTCTTAGTCTCCCTTTTAGTGTTTCAAATTATGACTGAAATGAAATGATTCTCATTTAACCTTTTATGCACTTAGTTTTTTTCCTCCCAAATAGACTGTATGCATTGTGAGTTTCTGGCCTATGTCTTAAATGTCTCTGTAGTCTCTACCTATCATCTCATTACACTTTGTAAACACACAACAAATATTTGCTCTGTGTGTGTATGATATGTGGGATTCAATTTTTTTTTAGATGGCAGGTTATTTCATATATTGTTTTATGTTATTGTTGTTTTCCAAGTGTAGAATATCTTCATCATTATATCTAGAATCCTAGCCATGGGGAACACCTGGTATAATCTTTACCATCCAGTGCACTCCAGCAATACCTTTCACGCACTGAAATCCATTGGCATTCACTAAATCCTTAGCGTCACCAGCTATTTCAAATAGTCTGCTAATGGCTGCAATGAATTAATATTCTAAGCAGCTAGAGACTCATTTTCCTGTACCTTGACTTTTAGTATTGTTCTAAGTCAAGCACACTAAACAGAATATAACTTTGTTTTGTCCAGCTATACTTTAATTGAATTTGGCCATTCCTTCCAATGACTGGCCTGGCTTTACTTAATTGGAGCTTACCCTAATGCAAATAACAGTATTCAAACAGAAAAAAGGATGATGACCAGGTCTTTCAGCTCAGCACAAACGAATAAAACATATTTCGCCCACACACTATACCATGATGTATTTTTCTAGTATTAGAAACGTTTTTCTTCTCTAAAGTAGTCCTGCTGTGAGAGAGCTTTTCTGATGTCCGTAAGCTTCTGAACGGCGCTCAGTTGAGTTATATTTACCATAGGGCTCACCGTGCTGCCTCTTACATGTCCCTGGCTCATATCTAGGATGGTAATTTGTCCAGGGTGGTCGAGGAAGCCAGCCACTTCAGCTAAAACCCCTGTGGGTTGTTGCTCAAAAGCAGAAAATGGATTCAGCTCGAACGTTCCTTAATTACCTTCCACAGACAGACAGCGAAGATTAGTGAAATACGTTTAGCCCTGACTTTATACTCCTCCCGGCAAAGAGAGGCCATAACCATTACTGAAGTACTGAGGACTGGAGACAGTAATGGAGGACGTCCAGAGCCGCCCAAAATGATAGCATTGTTCTTACATTAGTGTGTAGCTCATGTGGAAGTCTCTTCCAAACACAATGAAGGCTTTAGCTGTTTCTTAAGATTCCAAACAGATTCGGCCAGGTGTATTTCTGCTCTTTGAGCCCCTTTCTACTCTCACACCCCTGAGAGTCTGCACAGAGAAAACCCTTGGTCCCGGGTGAGATCTTCTGATATTGGGACCTGGAAAGAGTCACTTGTGGTCTAGGTTTTGATCTTCTCCTATGTAGGCACAGAAACATCATCTCATCACTTCACTGAGGAATAATCTAGCTTTGGAGAATCAATTCACTTTTTAAAATTCCAATTGCTCTGAGTTACAAAGTCACAAAGAATTTATTTCTTATTAGTCAGGGAATGGATGGATGATCTGTCATCTGGTATACCCATTATCACAGAAACAGACCCAGCAATCAGAGCAAAGAGTGTTACGTCAGGAGGAATATTTCATCCAGATTATGTAACAGGCTTGAACATCTTCCCTACTCTAATTACATAACTTTTAGTGACTAAAAGATAGGCCACCCTCAGAAACCATACATTTCCCCTCCCTATCAGTGTGGACCTATATTTATTCTTTTCTAGATGCTATGACAATTGTCATTAGGTATTACTTATATTTTAATCTCCTTGATGAGTGTCAGAAGTCATTAAAGCCTACTGATGAAGCACATCAAATCTGAGTGAAATAGACCAAAATTTAGGACATATATCCAACACTTTACATCTGTATGATCTTAAGCACTTTTCTTAGACTGAATCCGGTTTTCCCACTTGCCGAGGAGAGGAGATACCTACCTATTCCATAGCATGGTTTTGAGACTTAACTGGATAATTCATGTAAAGTTCCTGGTACCTATAAGTGTTCAGAAGGGACAACTGTTTGTATGTTTCAGTATTATTGCACATGTATGAAATTTGACTTTTTCCTTATAAACCAGCATTCTTCCTCTCTCGATGATGAAAGTTCTTTATGGCTAGCAATATTGTTTAAATTTATAAACTATGTATGTGACAAGCAAAACACACTTATAAGACATCAACTTCTAAAATGACAAAAACATAGGTAAAATTAGTATCCCCATTTTACTGATGAAGTATTAGAGACATGAGTAAAATCTGACCAGCTAGTAAGATGAAGTATTCCAACAGAGATGACCACAAAGCAAACTCCTCTTAAATAAGCTTTGGGTTTCATTTTAAAAACTGAGTGAAATATTTACATGTTGAAAAGAAATCCCTCAAATAGACTTGTTAAAAATTTTGAATGGGCAAAAAAAATTAAGATAATGACCTAGCTTATTGCATGTGGGATATTACCAATTTATAATGCTTTACAGCACTTAGACACTGAAATGTGCTTGATTCTTAGATTCTTTCTAGCATTTTCTTTACTGGAATTTCTACCCTTATAGTGACTACCTTCCTTTTCATCATTTCGTATTGTCTCCTTAGCATTCATGAAATACACTCTGTCTTTTAAAATAAGAGAATTGAGTAGAATATGCCCATATTATAAATCATATGAGGGTTAATTTGCATGTCCTCTAAAGCAATTTTATCTTCTCCAATGATTTTATTATTATCAACAGAGATAGTATGCAACAATGTCTCTAGTGTGTGACCATGTTCATTCTAATCTCCAGACTCATATCTCCAATTTCCTACTCCATGTCCAGCACTTTGAAAGCATGCAGGCCCTTCAAACTAACATGTTCTAAATGAAGTCATTGTTTCATCCCTAAACGTATTCTTCCCCATTCTCCTTAGCATGGTGAACTGGACCACTGTGAACTCAACTGCCCTAGCTAGAAGCCCAAACATTATTCTTCAGACTTTCCTGTCCAGCCAATCACCATGTCATGCCTAATGTAGGATATCAGTGAAAGTTGAGTGAGTCAATAAAAAACAAAGATTCCAAACCAAAGTGCTTTGCCCTAATGTCAGGAGATTAATGGCTTATAGAAGCAAATACGCACCTTAGAGACATTTTGATTCATGGAAGAAGGGAAAAGACATTTTTGTTTCCTTATTTCTCTTCATGATATTTGTGCAGAGAAGTACATGGTAGATGGATTAAGATGACTTTCAACAGTGAAACAGAAAGACCTCTTGCCAAGTGTTGGCAATTGAGGTCAACTATAGTATGTTGGGGAGTACATAATGGATGTGGGAGATTCTTCTTGGCTGAAGGACACCAGCTCTCTTACTCGAAGAGACTTTCTGGCTTTGAAAGTCAGGTAAGTGGTAAGGATAAAGATTAGTCAGATGAAACAAATAGAGTGTTTTCTGTTGTCTCTGTCTTTTGTACTTTTGCATTTATTTTCTTTTCTCAAGGCACAAGCTATTTCTTTTTCCTTTTCTTTCTTTTAAGGTTTTATTTTTTTAAGTAATCTCAGCACCCAACGTGGGGCTCTAAATCACAACCCCAAGATCAAGAGTCACATGCTGTTCTGACTGAGCCAACCAGGTGCCCTTTCAGGCACAAACTATTTCTTGAGCTGAGAAGATTAAGACCCTTCTACTCCCTTCTTCTATTCTGAAAGTGGGATTATTTTATGGTAATTGAGTTTCCCTCAGGAAGAGTGGTCTAGAATAAACCCCCCTCCTTTTGGGGGCAGGGAGCTGCCTGTTGGATTTCATTTTCCACACATTTTCTTTTAAAATTCATTTTCCACACATTTATTATCTTTCTAGTTATTAGTTTAGCAGTCTTGTCAGATGGGTTTCTTTGTTAACCAAGTTCAAATACTGAGATTAACATTGCAAAATATAAGCTTTTAAAAGCAAAACAAATCAAACAAAAAGGAAATAAATTGATTACAATTGCTTCTATTCTTCCTTATGAAATTGGAAAAATTTAATCACCTAATGGTAAATGGCATTGTAAAAAAGAAAACTGTACAGAGGAAAAAAACATACATAAGTGTGACTTTTGCCTTTTAAAAATATTGAATCAAGACAGACAAATTGATGCAGCCAACTTTGAAACTTAGTACACTATAAAACCAAATATAAAATGTACATGCCTGCTATAATTCTTTTATACTCTCATTTATCTGTCACAAGTTGTGCCTGATGTTGGTCTGCCTGGCAGGCAGAATAATTTTCAAGTAAATTAGTACTTACCATCGTCTTTGTCAGGGATGATCTTAATCTGAGCTGCTGGGAACTCCGATCCAATCCTCCCACCCATAGGCATGCTCAGAAGGACGTGGAACATTTCCTCTTCTTCATACAAGGAGTCGTCAATAACAATGATGCGACACATTTTCTCGCGCTCATCTCTGTCAAAGCGGATGACACTGGTGTGGTCCTCCGGCCTGGATATGTAATCTGAATAGGACAGCACTGATGTGGGCACAGTTCCACCTGCTGTGCCTGGGGGTAGAGAATCCAAATGATGTTTATGTAGAACATGTTACAAGGGTGTTTCCAGAAATAATTATTTTCACATGCAACATCTTCATGGTCAATTTGTATATCTGAACCTCTCTGGCAATTGCAGTAGTGCCTACATACTGTTGTAGCATCATGAGGCACCTTCATAGTGGTCTCAAACATACAAAGAATATTACATTTCAAGTGTTTTCTTCTCTACTTCCTGCCACTGGTCTTTCAGAAGAACACAATATTACAAAATAATAGCTCCTTGTAATTCCAGTGCTTACTGGGTGCAGGCAAAGTGCCAAGTGCTTTCCATGCATTACCTGCTTAATCCTCTCAACAGTCTATTGGGGGTTATACACTGGAGGTTTACAGAGGTTAAACTACCTGCTCTGGGACCCAGGGCCCAAGGTGGACCCTGAAGTCTGTGTTTCTGACCACAATTCTTTACTGCCTTTCAACTCATATAAATATATTAATGGGAATTTTCACGAATGTCTGCTCAGATATCAACTGCCGATATGACCTTGTCTTTTACATTCTTAGAAAATCTACCCTCTGAAAAACAATCTGAGGGTTTTGAAGCGGTGGGGGGTGGGAGGTTGGGGGAACCAGGTGGTGGGTATTAGAGAGGGCATGGATTGCATGGAGCACTGGGTGTGGTGCAAAAACAAGGAATACTGTTATGCTGAAAATAAAAAAAAATTAAAAATTAAAAAAAAAAGAAAATCTACCTGTTTCTTAGAAAGATATTTGGTCTATTAATGAATATTCTATATTAATTTTAATTTGGTGTTACATAAAGTCACCTTTTAGAGGAGGCTTACCCAGTGAGCAAAAGAAATATCTTGAAATTCAGAGGAGGTTTACCCAATGAGTAAATGAAATATTTTGAAATTCAGAGTTTCAAACTACTTTGAAATTAGTTTCTTTTCCTTGGATATGTATTTCTTTGCCCCACCTCTACCCCTTTAAAAAAAAATAACCCTCTTCTACATGATTCGGTTTGGGTGAGGAAAGGGGACTTCAATTTCTTGCAGTCCAAACAGCTTTGAGTATTAGAATAAGTAATCACACAAATCATGTATGTTTTGGTAACAGCAATGTTTCTAGGCCCTCTTATCTCTAGTAATTGCTTTTTTTCCTCCTCAGAGATACAATAGTGAAGGAAGACTTCTGGATAAGTGCTTTCTTGTATTTTATGAAAACTGTAATAATAAAGCATACCCTTCAAGGCATAATGTTATGGTTCCAACATGTCAAAGAGTCTTATATACACATCTTTGGGGGGACAGTTCAGTTCTTTGGTAAATCGAGCTACCTTGTTGTGTGTAACAGACCACCATCAGCTCCTGGCTCACGTCTCCACTTCTCCGGATGGGAATGAACAGCTCACCAACATCTTCTTCAACGGAGTATTCAGACTGGGGAATATATACAGTCGACTCTAAGGAGAAAACACAATCACAGCTACCATTATTTTTGTCTGAGTTTCTAATAATCCTAGGCAAAGTAAAATTGCTCTAACGATGAACTTTTCCCCCTTGCATATTCTTTTAGAATAATGCAGTGTGAGGGGAAGGAGGAGAAGAGGGGAGCAACGGTAGGTATAAAGCATGCAGGCTCTGGGCCAGAGAATTCTTAACCTGGAGATAAAGCCCAACATTGCTTTTATCTCTCGTAACTGGTTTTTTCTCAATCAGTGCTGCTGACATGCAACTTTGTTCTCTTGACACAGGTCACCACCTCCCAGTGGTGTAGTCAAATTTTAGAGGCTGAAGAGATGTCGAAGTCACCTTGTCCCGCCTTGTACTTTACAGATGAAGAAACTCAGGTGCAGAGAGTTGAGCTTAACTTGCCAAGGCCTCTTACTGGTTGAGTCAAAATAAAAATTCAGACCTTGTAAAATCTGCTCTTCTACTCTTTACCTCAAATGTGTTCCTTTTGAATGATTAATGCTTAAAAACACAGTAATACATTGTTCAACATTTGATTTTTTTTGTTTGTTTGCTTGTTTTTTTTAAACTGCAGTTCCTTTAGAATTTGTAAATCTATTAGTCAGCTATAAGGAACGTATATGTGGCTTCCTTCCTCCCCTAGAAAAATAACAATAACACATAGTATACAACATCATATTTATATAGTAAGTCTCTGATTCATTTTTAAGGTAGTTGAAAAGCTTGCTAAATAATAAAAACGGGATAATGAAATTGTTGAAAAATATAGCTCAGTGTAAAACTGGGTTTTTAGGGAAACATTCAGTTCAGTAAGTTGACATGATAACCCCCAAACAGATACTTTGGTGACTAGGAGTCTGTTTCACTGAAAGTCTCGCATACGCATAGAAAATGCTTCACAGTTATTTTTAAAACAGTAAGCCACACTGCTTTTGATGATTATAAAAGACTGTTGGAATAAGACATGGGCACTTGGGGTACATGTTTTATCCTCTCCACCCTGCCCTGTGCCCCAGGAGCTGACGAATGTGAGCTACATCAAAGGTTTCTCTTGTGCTCTGGCTTCCCAATGGGTCAGCCAAAGGGGAGCACAGGCAGGACTTGGAGGTCAAGAGGAGAATGAGGTCTGCGCCATTCATTCCCCTGGCTCCTTCCAGGTTCAGGACTGACCGCACCCCTTCCCCCAAATAACAGTCCTGGTGCCCACTGGACTCCCTAGCTCACTCTCTGGGCTCAACTGATTTCTTCCCTTGCCCTCAGGCCTAGGGGTAGTAATGGTCCGTACTCTTACTAGCCTTTAACTTACTAGCCTTTACCATGCTTGGTGGTTTCCCAATCTTTGCACACACCTTTGCAAACAGTTATATTATTGCATTCTTTTTAAATTACTTAATTTAAGTTTAATTATTACACTAAAAAAATCAAGTATGTTATTTGTTTTCTTCTGAGATTCTGACTGATAGATCAACATAAAAAATGGTACCATCAAAAAAAAGGGTGGTTATAAGATTTTACAACTAATTATTCATTTGTCAAACATTGATTGGGTGACTTGTACTTGCCAGACATGTCTACTAGGCAGCGGGGATATGGAAGTAAACAAAATCTCTGGTCTTAGGCAGTTTTCATTCTAGTTGGGATGGGGAAGAGGAACAAAATAAACAAATATACAAGAATATATGGTATATCAGGAAGTAACAAGTTATATGAAGAGAACAGAGTGTGCTGAAGGGAATGGGGGAGGGGGTGACTAAGGCAGGGTATATATCCTGGTGGGCCTGTGTTACATAGCAACATATCAATCACATTTGAGCTGAGATTGTAAGGTGGTAACCAGATGCCCTCTGTGAATAACTTAGAGAAGAGAATTCCAGGAAAAGGGATGAACAAGTGAAAAGGGCCTCAGACCAAGTCGTGCCAGGTGTGTATAAGGAATGGCCAGGGGGCCAATGTAGCCTGAATAAACTAAGTAAGGAAGAGAGGGCAAGACATGGGACCAGAGAAGTGGTTGTTGGGTGGGTGGTGGGAAGATCAGGTGGCACTTTCAGGATCACTGGGAGGACTCTGTGTTTTAAGTCAGAGTAAAATATTGTGTAAATAATCAAAGATTACCCAGTGGAATGAAAACACAGTGGCTATTCAAAGTTTGCGGTAGCAAAGGAGTCAGCCACCATCACTTGTCTTTGGCAGAGGCTCAAAGGCAGGCTGAGGAGTTGGAGGAGCTGGAAAGCTTCATAGGAAGAAGGGGAAGGCTGCCGGTGTGCCTGGACTAGAAGCTGTTGGTACAGGGAAGCTGTGGGCAGGCTGACTAGAAGTGAGGCATCCTATGTGACTAGTTATGGGATCACATCTGGTTTCTCTGGTTGGTCTTAACTTGAAAATGAGGAGAAAAAATAGGGAAGCGGTCAGTTGTTGATCAAATTTTGACCATTTGGGGCTGATTGCTTCAGAGGCCATGGTGTCGTTTCTCAGTTGCTGTCATTTGTGAGTCAGAGTTGTATTTTAATATGTGGTCTCTCCATTGTCTGTGTGTATGTCCATCCATCTCTCAATATAAAAGCATGAGAAGTCATTGAATATGGGGGGTCCTGTAACCTGACATATTTTAAGAACATTACATATCCAAGCTGAGATGTCAAATTAGTCAGTTGGGCATATAATCCTGGATTTCAGTGGACAGGTCCAGATGGGAAAGATAAAAGTGGGAGTTACTGGCTTGTTGATGAATGTGAAGTTTGAGTCAAAATTAAATCATTTAGGGAGGGATTATAGATAAACAAGACAATGGATCCAGGGACTAGCCCCAGGGCATTTAGAGGTCAGGGAGATAAGGAAGACTGAGCAAAGAAGGCTGAGAGGGGTCCCAGTGATGAGAACAACCGAGGGAGTATGGCTTCTGGAGGCCAAGTGCAGAAAGTGTTTTAAGAAATACCGACTGATGAAATGTTTCAAATGTTGCTGACAAGTCAAGAAAGTTGAGAATCAATCATTAGATTTGGCAAAGGGAAGTCACTGGTTATCTTTATATGAACTGTTTCAGTGGAGTAGAGAGGACAAAAGCCTGAAAGAATAAATGGGAGGAGATAAATTTTGAAGACAAAAGGCATAGACACTTCAAAAAATTTGCTATCAATAGAGTGACATCTAGAGAAATATCTTGTTTGTTTTCAAGATGAGCTTTTGTAAGGGCAAAATTACTCCTACTATTATGAAGTAGGATTCTACCAAACATAGAAATTATTGTAACATTTCATTAGCAAAAAATACACCAAGTGCCACAAAATATTCAAGTCAAGTGTTCAATGAGTTCCAGTGAGTTTCTTTATTAACTAACAGAAATTAAGTCTGGTATCACTTAGGTTTTGGCAGTCCTCAGGTCATTTACTCCAATGGCATTGGTATAAATATTACACAAAGTTTTGTTTCTTTCTTAAAGTTTGCTATGGACCAAATGCGTCCCTCAAAATTTATACATGGAAGCCCTAACTCTCAAGAGTGATGATATTTGGAGGTGAGGACTGTTGAGAAGGAGCTAGGTTAAGATGAGGTCATGGGAGTGGGGCCCTCATTTCGGGATTAGTATTCTTAAAAGAATATGATCTCTCTGTCTGCCTGTCTCAGAGTTGATCATATATAATAGTTATTCTATACTTCTAATCTATACTGACCAACTTTTAAAAGTAAGTTATTCATAGAAGTCCCACATAAGGCATTATAACTTCATCCCTTGAGTACCTGAGTTCCTCCTACATGCTATGGACCATGTGGGTTTGATTAAACAAGCCAGCACTGGTTACTAGAGCCAGGAGGTTTGAAGAATGAATAAAGATGAAAGCTGGGTGTCTCGAACCCACTCCTACACTTGGTCTGACACAGGGCGAAGAGGTCCAGCACCACGTTTAAGTCTTCGGCTGACCGAACTTTGGGCAGAAATGGGTGGTTTATGGGAGAAACAGGAAAAGGAGAGAGGGAGAAAGCTTCCCTGGTAGATTTTTCTAGTTAACATCATTTTTCAACTTCACTTCATATGTATAGTCGAAACTCACATGCAGACTGCCCCAAGCAAGCATGGCTTTTTAAGTGTAACCACCACCCCCACTGGCATTTATGTAGCATCCTTAAAAATTATTAGCTAATACCCAAAAAAATATTATTACCTAATTTGAGTGGGGTTCTTACTGTTTGTGAAGCCCTTATTCTAAATGCTTTCCATGTATTGGGTGTTTTTCTCCCAGCAACAAGGCTTTCACATAAGAACTATTATGGCTGTCATTTTACCTCTGAGGACATGAGGCACACAGAGGTCATGGAACTAGCGGAAGGTTAGGCCGGTAGCGGCAATGCCCATATTTGAGCCCAAGAAGCCCGTCTCAAAGACCAAACCCATAACCCCTATGGTCTACTGCTAAAGAAGAACATTCCGGGTAGCAGGCAGCAGCACTCACGCCAGAGACAAACAGAAGGCTCAACTGAGATTATAAAAGACATAATGACTGCTAAAACAGAGCCGGCAGGGACGGCAGAGGCAGAACAAAGGAAGCTAAAAACGAGTATCTTGAGAACTCCTTTATAGATCCAATGTATTCATAGAATTCTATATATAAATTTATACATATAAAATTATAAGAGCATTATGTAAGGTATAAAAGCTGTATGATATTCATATTAATAAAGTTATAGAATATTATGTGTTACATGTATAAATACATAATAGGTCTATGAATATAATATCTATATTATGTAATGTAACAGCATATCCTATGTCAGATCCTAGTGAGCCCATTAAATGGAAGCTATAGCAGCCTCTGGGAAGGGGTTCATTGAGAGGCAAAGTCAGGGAGGTATTCTAAAAACAGTAAACTCTCTGCTAAGTAAATAGAGACACACACAAAAATGACTGCAGGGTCAAGCTCTCCAACCTTAATTAACACTGGCTTTCCCACAGGGTAGGCCTACGAGGGACCTTTCCTTCTTTAAATCTCTCAGAATT